CAGTGTACAGTGGGAGAGCTGTCTGCCTGAAGAGCTGTCTTGCCTTGTGTAGGCTAATAGTGGAAAACAAACAGGAAATGGCCAGTTATGGGCAGGGTAGAGAGGAGGCTTAAAGGTAATTTAAGGAGCTGGACCTGTTACAGGCTATCAGAGCTTTCAAGGCTTTCCAGTAAAATGGGGTTTATGATAGTTAATCTCAAGGCACTCTGAAGGCTGTGTTGGAGGTAGGAAGAAATTTACTCAAGCATTAGAAAGGTGATAAGGATCTAGATTAGGATAGTAGCAGGGTTACCAGATACGGCTGGTAGGTCTCTAAAGTTTCATAAAAGGAGCTTAGGCCCCAGCAGTGTGGTGTGAAGGAACCTTTGTTTTGTTTTGATTTGATTTTTCATAGACCCCTAATATTTAGTGTCAGTTGTCCGGAATAAAACGGCTATACTATATAGATCCACAACTATGGAAAATAAAACTCACTCAATATCCAGGGACTGTAAAAGGTGAGAAGTCACTTCAATGCTATACAAACCCTAGAACTTGCTCCAGCTTTTAAAATAGCACTTTTAAATTAGCTCCTTTCCTCTTCCTGTTGATGCAGATGGATGTGTGCCTATCATTGGTTTTCAGGAAGACATGAGCACAGATCATTTATAGCTGTCTGGAGTTTGAGGTTAGGATTGTAATACCAAGTGGCATTGGGTTAAATAGGGAGGATACTGCCAGCAAAATGGTGATTTTGATAACTTTATTTGGTGACATTTTGATTTGGATGAGAAAATTCTGTTATTTCCCTAGGGCTTAGAAGGGATTTAATTAAAACACAAACCTAGGAAATAGTTTTGGATACTAGGGAATTCATTTATATTGTCTCTCATTCTCTCCTCGCCTCTCTCTCTCTCTTTTTTTTTTCTGTCCATAGTAGCTTTGTAATGGGAGAATACATGGTACATAATAGTAATTCTAAAGAAAGTCACACTGATTATATAGATACCAGTTTTAAAAATGTGCCCTGGCCGGGTAATTCAGTTGATTAAAGCATTACCACGGTTGCAGGTTTGATCCTCGGTCAGGGCACATGCAGGAGTCAACCAATGAATGCATGAATGGGAGGAACAGCAACTCAATTTCTCTCTCTCTGTCTGTTTCTCTCTCTCTCTCTCTCTCTCTCTCTCTCTCTCTCTCTCTCTCTCTCCCTCTCCATTCCTCTCTTTCAAATCAGTTAAAACACACACACACATAAGGAAATCGAAAGTGCCTATTATTGTTCAATGGTAGGCCTTACACATACTAAGCAGGAAAGGATAACCACCCTACCACTGATTTCCTGACTGTTGGTGTTCTCATTTGGCTGTAAGGGCAACATGGTAATAACTCTTGGGAGTCATAATAGTTAATTGTGGCCAAGCATTGCTTCCCTTGGAAGGAGGATGCACATGCAAAGGGATGTGCACGATGGTTGATGAACACGGGAAGGAGATAAGTGACCAAGGAAAAGGCAGGCCCTGTGAGGTTAGAGGCAAAGCAAGCTGGTTTAGTCCTGTCACTTCTGAGCAGGGGCAAGGAGTGTGTTTCATTTCTTGTCTCCTGAGTTTATTTAAATCACCTGTTGGGGTGGGGATGGTAGGGGAGAAAGCTTGACATTATAAGGCTGATTAAGATGCAAACATGCAGATTATATCTGGCTCCTGACACTCCCTTTCACTCCAGCCTGGAAAAAGAAGATTGCAGAAGAAACCTGCTCTAAGGGAAGGAAGGAAAGAAAGCAAAAGACACCTACCCGCTTCTGAATGAAAGATTTTCTGAATATATATTATTTTTGGATCTCTGGTATCCATGCCACCCTAACTGATCGTCCAGAGTAGCTCCTGGCTGAAACGCTGGCCAGAGGGTTTGGACCAGGGGCAGGTGACATTGGGCAGGGGGTCTTTAGGATGCTGCTGGCATTAATTTTGCTGAAGGGGCCTCATCAGATACCAAGTCTCCCCTCTCCCATGGGTGACAGGCATTGGGCCTTGGAGAGGGCCTCCATGCAGATTTCAGCCTCTCCCCCGCCTCCAGCCCCTCAGCTTTCAGCTCCTGCGGTGGGACCCTCTCTCTTCCTCCTTTTTTCAATTAAATGAATTAATTACCAGGCATTTAACTTTTTGCCAGACTTTTTCATTATGCCCAGAGTTGTTGCTGAGCGGCAAAGGGAAGTAATAACATTCACAGTGAGGGGCAAATCCTGTTAATGAACAAATTAAAGTTCAAACAGTGATTCAAGTTCACAACCTCTCCGTGGCTCTTCTCTTTAATAAGAGTTATATATGTTACTTTCCTTGCTCTTTTCTCCCTTTTATTACTTTTTAAGCTTTTCATCAACACTGCCGGGGCATATTTGAGGCTCCCAACCTTTCAGCTCTGACAAGGACTTGAGCAGTTATAATCCCGTCTTAATTTGGCAACTTTTGTAAAACACATAAAGGGCCCAGGGTCACCCTTGGTCACCAGGGCCCCCAGTGACCCTGTAGTTTCCACCTCCCGCCTGGGCTGCCTGGGCCACTCTAGGTTTGCATTCCTCTCTGGCAGTCAGGTTCTTACAACTCAACTTCCCACCCTCAGGGCACAGTCTGGAGGGCTGACCGCCAGTGTCTGAGCCCTTGTGTCTCTCCCTTCCCTCTTCAGTGGTTCTTTCCACCCATTTGTTTACAATGCTTGGGGGAAGTGGACGCAGTGAGGGAAGTGGACGCAGTGAGGAGAGGGACTAAAAGCTAGGAACCTTTATGGGGAAAGGTGTTTGAGGTAGGAAGGATGCCTGACCCCCTCCCCACTACCATTACCAAACACTGCTCCCTGCTGGCCGGGCTGAGGGACCATGCCTGGAAAGACACAGGAAAACCCAACCATCTTTGGCCCTGAAACGGGGGAAGGCCAGAACCTGGCTGGAAGGAGCCCCCAGAGGTGTCTGGAGCCTGCCTACTTCTCCTCCCCCTTTACTTATTTATTTACTTAATTTGGGACTGTGGATTGTGTGGGGGTCTTTTCCACCTCCGTGCCTGGCTTCTCACCACAGTCCCCAAGCGTGGCTTGATATAATCACCATGACAACTGCAATCTAGGAGCATACACATAATAGAGATGAAATAGACAAAAGATTAGCATGCCATGAAAAGTACAATAAGTTTCTTATTTAGCATTTAGATAACTGTCTTTCCTTCGGAGCAAGCTTCAAAGTTGAAGCCAGTTTAGACCAAGAGGATTAATTCTTTCTCCCACATGCTTCATTGAATCTCTCATTACCAAACTTTGTCTGTATTGATGTAAGATTTGATTGAAGATTAGAGCATTTAGCAAATCTTGCTTTTCTGCATGTATCAGGTCCTTTCAAGCACGGATCGCGGTGCCCAGTGGTCAATACCCTTACTTTTATCCAGTGTCTGCTTCATTTAAACTTAATCAACTCCATCAATGAACTGGAACAGGGAAACGTCCCTGCGGTAAGAATGTTGTGCTTTTGTGGGATAATTCTTTGCTCTTTCCCAATCCGTTGGCGTTAAACCTAAAATTGCACTATGATGAACTTTTTTTTTTTTAATCAATATGATAATGACAATTGAGCCTGAACGCTCTGGTAGGACTTAGAGTAGAGCATGATCTGGCCTCCATTACCAAAACAACTTCTGGTCCTGCGTTAGTCTGCCTCCTTTTGTGTGGCTTTAATACCTTTCCTTTCCTGACATTGAATATTGCTCAAGCTGGAAAATGATGCATCTTTGTAGGGAAGGCTCATATGTCACAGCCAGAAAGTGAAGCAGACCGATTGGTTGTGTGAATTATCTGACTTGCTGCAGTGAATTATTTGCACTGTTTCCCTACCTAGTCAACAAGTTCCTGAGGTATAGTAGAGATCAATCAAAACTGACAGCCCGCGTGTGAAGGCTTTACTGTGTAAATCTGGCGCACTCATCCTGGCCATGCCGGCCCTGGCATCTGTATATCATTTTTATACTGCTACCAGTAGAGCAATTTCAAAAGTATTTGCAAGGAAAATGCGTGTCCCCATCTGTTCCTAGAAGCATAAATGTGCCACCTTCGGAGGGTTTTCACTGGTAATCATATCTTTAATGATCAACAGACTAGTGATATATATTTTTCCATAAAATGGGGTTTTCTTTATTGTGATTGGCTAGAATAAATAGCTTTTCCATATGTTAGGGAGATAAAATATAAGATTAGCAGAGGTCGTTTGTTAGATAGTAAACAAAAGAAACAATTCATTCCAAATAATCTTTGAAAAGAAGCTCCAGCAAAATTAAGTTGCAATAACAGAGCGTCTAAGGCCCCAGATCAGAAACAGACCTTGTTCCTCCTTGGAAAAGGAGCCGTTTAAGAGCAGAAACTCGGCATGTTCTCGAGGACTCTGGTGGTTTATTCTCTGAGGCAGAGTAGGGGAGGAGCAGGATAAGGAGAGGGTAGAATAATACTTACTTGTTCTCTTCTGTTTTAAGGTTGTATTTCCTTTCCCTGTATTTTACCTGCTATTTGCCCACCCTATTGCCGAACCCTGAGTAAATTGATGGTGCTGTGTTCAGAAAGGAGGAAAATGCCAACTTGCTGAATCCTCTTCAGGTCTACAAGGAGATGGGGATTGTTCATGTACTTTAAATAAAAGTTGGCTTCCTCTGTTGGAGATTTATTTTCTTCCATAGAAAAGGGTGACTTCAGAAGGTGGAGCAAAGTATGGGTCTTTATGTGAAATTCCAAAACCATGCAAAAGGCATCTGGACATAGCCAAGACCCACCAGAAAACCCAGGAGTGTTCTTAGTGATCTAGTCCCATCTGTATAGGTTACAGTCTGTGGATACAATCAGGCCTTGACCACAGTCCCACCTCCACACATGCAGCCACGCATGTATTCTCCACATTCAGCACCCAGGACCACCCTGCCCCACCCCCATCCCAGGCCTTCACCACCCTATTGTCTGTGTCCATGGCACTTTTCTTTTTTCTTTCCAGAGTTAGAAGAGAACCAGCCCCCTGTTCCACAAAGGACTGACATTAGTTTCAGGACACCTGAATCTGAAGAATGCTTCAGCCTTTGAGCTCCAGAAAATAAGTGCAGAGCAACTTAGACCCATTTCTACAAGTCAAGAATTGAGACGGAGACGGGGAGGAGTGGTTCTCACTAAACACTGAGAACAGGGCCAGTTAGTAGGTTAATTGTTAAGCTGCTTCTTTATTCTTTACTGTATGTATTGTTATTGACTTTTTTTCTCCTTGGAGTAATGGGGGAAAGCTTTGACTTTTCTGTATATCTTACCCTCTCACACACACACAGAATTTTTTGCGGTCTCCAGATTCCTACTGCTCTCACTGCAGCAGGAGTGTATGATTGTTTCAAAGTGGGAAATATGGTCATCAGGCCAGTCCCAAGCAGAAAGTCTCTGTTGGCATCTTAGACCTAACTTATGTTAATTTCTGGCCCCAGTGAGACTTGGAAATAACTGACAGTGCAGTAGAAAAATAACTCATCCCAGGCCTATGGCCAGAAGAAGATGGGAGAGCCACTCTCAAACAATTTTCTTTTAAAATTTCCTCTTGCCCTTGCTGGTTTGGCGCAGTGGATACAGCGTCAGCCTGCGGACTGAAGGGTCCCAGGATTCCGGTCAAGAGTACACATCCGGGTTGTGGGCTCAATCCCCAGTAGGGGGCATGCAGGAGGCAGCCAATTAATGATTCTCATCATTGATGTTTCTATCTCTCTCCCTCTACCCTCCTCTCTGAAATCAATAAAAATACATATTTTTAAATATTTCCTCTTAATTTTAAAAACATAATCTTACAGGCTAGATTGCATGTAGGCAGACATAGATCATGTAACACTAACAAGTAGATCACACTTTGCCTGGTCTGAAACCAGATTTACCATAGTATTGCAATTTAGACTAAAAGAAAGGAAAGTTATACTCATGGTTTCTATGCTGTGTTGTGATACACTGCAGATTGCAGTCTTCAATGAATTTGCTTGCCACAAGGAAATTCTGGCACGTGTTATGTATGAAAGATGATTTGCACTCAATTCAAAGAATTGAACTTCCAGATATCTATGTATTTTACTTTGGAACCCATTTTGCATAGACTTTCTGTGTGTGTGTGTGTGTGTGTGTGTGTTTTCATAAAAATGAAAGGAAGTGAAAAACTCGTGAACTGATTTTGTGTAGAAGGAATAAATCTGTGATGTTTGCTCCTTCCCTGTCCAGGATGGCAAGGCTGTTGCTACTACAGTTGGGACGTTTCCCACTCCACGCTTCTGTTCTCCCCAGGGTCCTGTCTGACACAGAAGCTTCTGTCAGAAACGTTGCTGTCCACACCAGCGTGGAAGACATCTGCAGAGCTCGCCTTTGGGGCTCCTGTTGGCTGAGGCTCTGAACCATAGAACTGCATGTATCCAAGGGTTTCCTAAACCCTAGATTGGAGTCATTTGCAGCACATAGTCTGTTGCTGCTTCAAAAGCATAGACCCGGGATACATCTACATCCATAGCGGAGATGGAAGTCTTGGAAACTATAGGATAAAGATTGAAAATTTTAAAAACAAACACACTGTGTTCCGGGTTAAAACTACCTGTATTCACAATGCTGTCTCTTTCCCTCTACAGTCTTACTGCCACCAAGCAACCGCATCAATCTGGGCTTATTTTGCTGATAATGTACTTAATTCCAGATAAACTACTAGATAGCTATGTATAACAATATTCTTTGTTATCCAGTTTTATGGAAACAAAATGTCCTCCCATCTTAGAGGAAAATATTGAACCTAAACTCAGATATTTGAAAACAGATAATTTAATAAAGTGTTAATTTGCATATACTGTCTCATGATCATAATGTGCATAAGTATGTTATAGCATTTGTTTTTTAGGTGCCTCCTTACAACACAGGGGTGAAACAGGCAGCATGGTGTCTTGGAAAGAAATTCAGTGGTTTTTTTTTTAAAATAAGCTGAAGGAAATGGCTCTTTTGATAAAAGGAAGTAAGCTCAATTGGTAGTTAAGACCAAATGAACTTTAAAATTTTAGAACCAATCCTGAAGTTAAATTACCAAAAAATGCCACCTGGATCTTAAAAATGGAAAGGTGTTTAAAATGATCAAAAAATGAAAAATTTGGGGGAATTGAAATTTCTTTTTTGTTCTCCTCACTCTAAACAGCATAGTAGTAATACTTTGGTCATCCCTGGCTTTTATTGAGGATTTTCATCTTGTTTCTGAAGGAAATAGCAGAAAATCAACTTGTATAATAGCCTCATTCTAAAGAACGGAATTTCCGGTCAGAATTTCTACAAGCACCCTTGTTTCTGGGCACTGAAAAGAGATGTGTTTTTAATTTGAGGTCAGACAACTGGGTTAAGATCTGGAGACAACAATGAGTTTTCCCCTTGGGGGGAGAGGGAAGAGGAAGGAAGCAAAATTAGTTTTGCTGTGCGGCCAAAGGACTACTCCAGGCACCACTGAGGCAGGGACATTTGCATTTCTGGGCAGCGCTTCTAGTCCCCTTTCATAACAGTCTTGGAGCCAGTCAGCTTGGACGCGGGTTTCAGGGAGTCGATCTCAGATCCCGGCCTCTCCCACCTTCTCTCTGCGGGCTTTTTGCCCGAAGACTTAAGGTTCCTGCTTCCTGAATTCCCCTCCCCCATACCAACAGACCTCGAGGGACCTGCCAGGTGTTTTGAGAAGCCGACGGGTGCACCCAGAGGGGTGCGATCCTGTCCCATCTGGACGTTCAGAATTTGGGTTTAGGCGCCTTCCACGCCGGCCGGTCCTTGGACCCGGGCGGCACGTGGTCGCGGCCCCAGCGCCCAGAGCCGTCCGTGGGGGAGGCGGGACCTGGCCCCGGAGGCGCGACCGCTGCCCTGCGCCCGACGCCTGCCGGCCAGCCCGGCCGTAATGTGGCCACAGGCCCAGCCTGGGCCCGGGGCTGGCGCGAGCCGGGCAGACGGTGTCCCCCGAGGACGCACGCTGCCCCGGCGGGTGGGGTCGCCCCTGTGGACAGGAGGGGCTGGCTGGGGCGCATTGGCAGGTCGCTAGTTACCACTTGCTGCTGCTAAGCCGCGCGGGAAGCGGGGTGAAAGGGGCCGGCGCCCTTCCTGCCCGCCCTTGCCCCCTCCTGACCCAGGACACCGCCCTCAGGGCACCGACGCGCTCCCTGCCGCGGGGCCCGAGGGCCTCGGCTCCCCCCGCCCCCTCGGTCTCGGGCGGGGGACCAGGTGGTCGGGGTGGTTCCGGCTCTGGCGCCCCAGGCCCGCCAGTGGGAGGGAGCGGGGGTCTCCGCAGCGGCCAGACATTCCGGACGAAACGCCCGGGGGCGAGAGCGCGGCTCGGGGAGCGCGGGCGCGCGCAGACCTGGGCTTTGGGGGTGCTCCTCGTCTGCCCCTGCCGCGCGCCCCCGAGTCCCCAGGGCAGGGCCAGGGCGCGG